GGCTCACCATAGCCCGTGCTACTTGCCCCGCTCCTGTGCCAGGTAAGTCCACTACGGGCTCACCATAGCCCGTGCTACTTGCCCCGCTCCTGTGCCAGGTAAGTCCACTACGGGATCACCATAGCCCGTGCTACTTGCCCCGCTCCTGTGCCAGGTAAGTCCACTACGGGCTCACCATAGCCCGTGCTACTTGCCCCGCTCCTGTGCCAGGTAAGTCCACTACGGGCTCACCATAGCCCGTGCTACTTGCCCCGCTCCTGTGCCAGGTAAGTCCACTACGGGATCACCATAGCCCGTGCTACTTGCCCCGCTCCTGTGCCAGGTAAGTCCACTACGGGATCACCATAGCCCGTGCTACTTGCCCCGCTCCTGTGCCAGGTAAGTCCACTACGGGATCACCATAGCCCGTGCTACTTGCCCCGCTCCTGTGCCAGGTAAGTCCACTACGGGCTCACCATAGCCCGTGCTACTTGCCCCGCTCCTGTGCCAGGTAAGTCCACTACGGGATCACCATAGCCCGTGCTACTTGCCCCGCTCCTGTGCCAGGTAAGTCCACTACGGGATCACCATAGCCCGTGCTACTTGCCCCGCTCCTGTGCCAGGTAAGTCCACTACGGGATCACCATAGCCCGTGCTACTTGCCCCGCTCCTGTGCCAGGTAAGTCCACTACGGGCTCACCATAGCCCGTGCTACTTGCCCCGCTCCTGTGCCAGGTAAGTCCACTACGGGATCACCATAGCCCGTGCTACTTGCCCCGCTCCTGTGCCAGGTAAGTCCACTACGGGATCACCATAGCCCGTGCTACTTGCCCCGCTCCTGTGCCAGGTAAGTCCACTACGGGATCACCATAGCCCGTGCTACTTGCCCCGCTCCTGTGCCAGGTAAGTCCACTACGGGATCACCATAGCCCGTGCTACTTGCCCCGCTCCTGTGCCAGGTAAGTCCACTACGGGCTCACCATAGCCCGTGCTACTTGCCCCGCTCCTGTGCCAGGTAAGTCCACTACGGGATCACCATAGCCCGTGCTACTTGCCCCGCTCCTGTGCCAGGTAAGTCCACTACGGGATCACCATAGCCCGTGCTACTTGCCCCGCTCCTGTGCCAGGTAAGTCCACTACGGGATCACCATAGCCCGTGCTACTTGCCCCGCTCCTGTGCCAGGTAAGTCCACTACGGGATCACCATAGCCCGTGCTACTTGCCCCGCTCCTGTGCCAGGTAAGTCCACTACGGGATCACCATAGCCCGTGCTACTTGCCCCGCTCCTGTGCCAGGTAAGTCCACTACGGGATCACCATAGCCCGTGCTACTTGCCCCGCTCCTGTGCCAGGTAAGTCCACTACGGGATCACCATAGCCCGTGCTACTTGCACTCCCTGACCCCCACCCACTCCCTGACCCCCTCTCACTCTCTGACCCCCACCCACTCCCTGACCCCCTCTCACTCTCTGACCCCCACCCACTCCCTGGCACTGAAATCTCTGGCAATAGGGTGTCCAAGAAGAGCCTGAAGGTTTGGTACACGAACGCCGACGGAGTAACAAACAAAGCAGAGGAAATTAAAGAAAGAGTAAGATAAAATTATGCAGATTCCGTTGCAATAGTGGAAACAAAAATAAATGATATGATCTCTGATGCAACATTCCCCGGGGGACTCCAAGTGATAAGGAAACAAAGACAACAAAGACAAGGAGGAGGAGGAGTTGCACTCCAAGTAAAACATGAGTGGAAGTTCGAAAAACTCAAGAATCAGAGTTTACGTTTAACCGTTTACAAGAAAAACGTTTACACAGACTCCATCATTGGGACACTGACAGTAGATGGAAAAAAATAATTGTAGCCGTGATAATTTACAATCCCCCCGCCACCCAACAGACGTCCCAGGCAGGAATATGATAACAACAAGGCATACATAGAGGCACTGCAGCGAGCAGCAACGGTGACACACAGAATGAGAGCTAAACTTCTCGTCATGGGGGACCTAAATCATGGAGAAATTGACTGGGATACCAGAAATCATCGTGATGGGGAAGAAACGTGGGGAGCAAAATTAGTGGAAATTTGTAGATAGAAACATCTTAACACAACAGGTAAAGGAGGACACAAGAGACAGGGGAGGAGATACGCCAAGCCTACTGGACTTGATCTTCACCCAGAACGAGACAAACATTGAGAACTTAAGAGCATGAAGTACCACTAGGAGCAAGTGACCATTGTGTCCTGGTGTTCCACTACATGATGGACCGCAGACCAGTGCCCATAAGACCAGGAGTCAGGGAAGGGAGAGCGGACTATAACAAAGTAGACTACATGACAGTAAGAGAGTGTCTGGGAAGTGTGCAATGTGAGGAGGACCTTAGAAGGAACAAGGTCCAGGAAATGATGCACCAAGTAAAAGTGAGGTGCAAAGAGGCAGAAGAGAGATTCCTACCACCATTAAGGGCAAAAACTAGGAGAACACATAATAACCCGTAGTTCAACAGTGTCAGGAAGCAAATACAAAAAGCCGGAGGGAGTGGAGGAAATACAGAACACCAAGGACAGAGATAAACCGGAACAGCTGCAACAGGGCCAGGAATGACTACATAAACATAAGAAGATCGGCAGACAGAAACTATGAACATATGATATTGCCTCCAAAGCAAAGCAACCCGTTCTCGCAAATTTAATAAGTCAATATTGACTTATTAAATATGTGAATAGTGACATACTTAACATAATAGATACCCTTAAAAAGATTCATAGAAAACACCGACCTTACCTAACCTTGTTACTATCTTAAGATAAGCATCTTATTGCTTCGTAATTACAATTATTACCTAACCTATAATAGGTATAGGTTAGGTAATAATTGTAATTACGAAGCAATAAGATGCTTATGTTAAGATACTAACAAGGTTAGGTAAGGTCGGTGTTTTCTATGAATCTTTTTAAGGGTATCTATTATGTTTAGTATATCACCTATGCACGTAGTTAAGTCAATATTGACTTTACGAATTTGCGAGAACGGGTTGAAGCAAAGAGCCAACCAAAATTCCTACATAGTCATATCAGTAATGGCGGTGAATGATCAAGTGACCAGGTTAAGACAAATGGGAGGCCAGTATACAGAAAATGATAAAGAAATTTGTGAGGAGCTCAATGCCAGCTTCCATGGAGTGTTCACTACTGAGCCGCAACAACTCCCAGAGCTTGATGAAGCAGCAGCCCCTGACGAGAGACTACTAAATATTGAGGTAACAACAGAGTAAGTAAGAATACAGCCAGCATCACTGGTTGTAACTAAAGCTACTGGACCACAGAGTATCACCATGGGTGTTAAAAGACTCAGCACAGGCCCTCAGCATACCTCTAGCACCAATCTATAATGAGTCAGTTACACTGGGTGAATTGCCCATCTGTTGGAAGAAGGCAAATGTGGTGCCAATCTACAAAAAAGGAGATAAAGAAAGGACACTTAAAGACAGGCCAGTGTCGCTCACAAGCACCCCTTGAAAAGTACTGAAGGAATTATAAGATTAAGACTAGTTGCACACCTAGATTGAATTCCGTTTATAAATAAACAACAATACGGCTTTAGAGAAGGGAAATCATGCCTGACGAACCTCCTGGAGCTTTTTTTAAGTGATATATACAAGAGTTGTTACATTCTTGTACAGCCACCAGCACGTGTAGCGTTTCGGGCAGGTCCTTAATCCTATGTTCCCTGTAATACCACCCCCGCGAAGAATCGTTTAACAACCAGATACCCATTGTACTGTTGGGTTAAACAGAGGCTACAGTTATGGATTTGCGCCCAGTCAATCCTTCCCGGCCAGGATACGAACCCAGGACAAAGCGCTTGCGAAACGCCAAGCGAGCGTCTTAACCACTTCACCACGGGGACTAGGTGTGCGTTACTTTATGATAAAGTAACTGAAATAAGGCAAGACAGAGAAGGATGGGCAGATTACATATTTCTGGACTGCCAAAAAGCCTTTGATACAGTACCACACAGAAGGCTACTATACAAACTTGAGAAGCAGGCGGGAGTAAGCGGCAACGCACTATCATGGGTAAGGAATTACCTGACAGACAGGTGTCAGGGAATGACAGTGACGAGCAAGGAGTCGGGCTGGCGTAGAGTAACAAGCGGGGTGCCTCAAGGGTCGGTGCTGGGTCCCATACTATTCCTCATTTATGAGAATGACTTGACTGCTGAGACATTTATGTCGATGTTTGCAGATGATGCAAAACTAATGAGGAGGGTTCATACAAATGAGGATTGTACGATTTTGATTAGAGGTCCATTAGGTTAGAGAAAACGAGCCCAACCATTTCTGCTCCCCCCCCCTCCCTCCCTCCCCCGGGATTCGAACCGGCACACTCTCAAGTCCAAGAAACACCAGGAAGACCGTCATCAGACATATGGCTGTCAATAAATGGATCAGGCTAGACGCACAAGTTGAAGCTAAATACAAGTAGGAATTTTAAATGTAAATATGATAAAAGTTCGAGAAATAAATCGTTACATTAATCTAAGAACGTTCACAAGGTGGGGATAGGAGCCTAGCTCGACCCTGCAAGCACGTCTAGGTGAGTACATCTAGGTGAGTACACACACACACACACACACACACACACACACACACACACACACACACACACACAACACACAGGCGGGACCAAAGAGCCAAGGCGGGACCAAAGAGCCAAAGCTCAACCCCCGCAAGCACAAATAGGTGAGTACACACGCACGCACGCTCGAGGAGCCAAAAAAAATGAAAATTTACTTTTGCAGAGTGGTAGTGTTGGGTGAGAAGGTGGTGGAGGCCAAGACCGTCAGTAGTTTCAAAGCGTTATACGACAAAGAGTGCTGGGAAGACGGGACACCACGAGCGTAGCTCTCATCCTGTAACTACACTTAGGTAATTACACACATTATAATACATAGCGTTATTTACGTCAGAGAATAACGCTACGACTACATTAATAAGGGAAGTATTGAGAGAGGCGTCTTACCAGGACATGGTCGGCTTGGTGGAGCTGCCAGGCTGTTGGTGGAGGCTGGAACTGCACTTCTGTACAGGAGATAACTGCTGATTAGTGATTGTTGTTGTGGTGGTGGTGGTTGTGTTAGTGGTAGTGGTGGCAATGGTTGTGGTCTCACAGATGGTGGTGACAATGGTTGTGGTGTCACAGAGGGTGGTGACAATGGTTGTGGGGTCACAGAGGGTGGTGACAATGGTTGTAGTGTCACAGATGGTGGTGACAATGGTTGTGGGGTCACAGAGGGTGGTGACAATGGTTGTAGTGTCACAGATGGTGGTGACAATGGTTGTAGTGTCACAGAGGGTGGTGACAATGGTTGTAGTGTCACAGATGGTGACAATGGTTGTGGTGTCACAGATGGTGGTGACAATGGTTGTAGTGTCACAGATGGTGGTGACAATGGTTGTAGTGTCACAGAGGGTGGTGACAATGGTTGTAGTGTCACAGATGGTGGTGACAATGGTTGTGGTGTCACAGATGGTGGTGACAATGGTTGTAGTGTCACAGAGGGTGGTGGCAATGGTTGTAGTGTCACACAGGGTGGTGACAATGGTTGTAGTGTCACAGATGGTGGTGGCAATGGTTGTAGTGTCACAGATGGTGGTGACAATGGTTGTGGTGTCACAGATGGTGGTGACAATGGTTGTAGTGTCACAGAGCGTGGTGGCAATGGTTGTAGTGTCACACAGGGTGGTGACAATGGTTGTAGTGTCACAGATGGTGGTGGCAATGGTTGTAGTGTCACAGATGGTGGTGACAATGGTTGTAGTGTCACAGAGGGTGGTGACAATGGTTGTAGTGTCACAGATGGTGGTGACAATGGTTGTGGTCTCACAGATGGTGGTGACAATGGTTGTAGTGTCACAGAGGGTGGTGGCAATGGTTGTAGTGTCACACAGGGTGGTGACAATGGTTGTAGTGTCACAGAGGGTGGTGACAATGGTTGTAGTGTCACAGATGGTGGTGGCAATGGTTATGGGGTCACAGATGGTGGTGACAATGGTTGTAGTGTCACAGAGGGTGGTGGCAATGGTTGTAGTGTCACAGAGGGTGGTGACAATGGTTGTAGTGTCACAGATGGTGGTGGCAATGGTTGTAGTGTCACAGATGGTGGTGGCAATGGTTCTGGGGTCACAGATGGTGGTGACAATGGTTGTAGTGTCACAGAGGGTGGTGGCAATGGTTGTAGTGTCACAGAGGGTGGTGACAATGGTTGTAGTGTCACAGATGGTGGTGGCAATGGTTGTAGTGTCACACAGGGTGGTGACAATGGTTGTAGTGTCACAGAGGGTGGTGACAATGGTTGTAGTGTCACAGAGGGTGGTGACAATGGTTGTAGTGTCACAGATGGTGGTGACAATGGTTGTGGTCTCACAGATGGTGGTGACAATGGTTGTAGTGTCACAGAGGGTGGTGGCAATGGTTGTAGTGTCACACAGGGTGGTGACAATGGTTGTAGTGTCACAGAGGGTGGTGACAATGGTTGTAGTGTCACAGATGGTGGTGGCAATGGTTATGGGGTCACAGATGGTGGTGACAATGGTTGTAGTGTCACAGAGGGTGGTGGCAATGGTTGTAGTGTCACAGAGGGTGGTGACAATGGTTGTAGTGTCACAGATGGTGGTGGCAATGGTTGTAGTGTCACAGATGGTGGTGGCAATGGTTATGGGGTCACAGATGGTGGTGACAATGGTTGTAGTGTCACAGAGGGTGGTGGCAATGGTTGTAGTGTCACAGAGGGTGGTGACAATGGTTGTAGTGTCACAGATGGTGGTGGCAATGGTTGTAGTGTCACACAGGGTGGTGACAATGGTTGTAGTGTCACAGAGGGTGGTGACAATGGTTGTAGTGTCACAGAGGGTGGTGACAATGGTTGTAGTGTCACACAGGGTGGTGACAATGGTTGTAGTGTCACAGAGGGTGGTGGCAATGGTTGTGGTGTCACAGATGGTGGTGACAATGGTTGTAGTGTCACACAGGGTGGTGACAATGGTTGTAGTGTCACAGAGGGTGGTGACAATGGTTGTAGTGTCACACAGGGTGGTGACAATGGTTGTAGTGTCACAGAGGGTGGTGACAATGGTTGTAGTGTCACACAGGGTGGTGACAATGGTTGTAGTGTCACAGAGGGTGGTGGCAATGGTTGTGGTGTCACAGATGGTGGTGACAATGGTTGTGGTCTCACAGATGGTGGTGACAATGGTTGTAGTGTCACAGAGGGTGGTGACAATGGTTGTAGTGTCACACAGGGTGGTGACAATGGTTGTAGTGTCACACAGGGTGGTGACAATGGTTGTAGTGTCACAGAGGGTGGTGACAATGGTTGTAGTGTCACACAGGGTGGTGACAATGGTTGTAGTGTCACAGAGGGTGGTGACAATGGTTGTAGTGTCACAAAGGGTGGTGACAATGGTTGTAGTGTCACAGAGGGTGGTGACAATGGTTGTAGTGTCACAGAGGGTGGTGACAATGGTTGTAGTGTCACAGAGGGTGGTGACAATGGTTGTAGTGTCACAGAGGGTGGTGACAATGGTTGTAGTGTCACAGAGGGTGGTGACAATGGTTGTAGTGTCATAGGGACTATCAACCATGAATGCTAATTACATATTAAAAACAGAATTATTTACAATTGGACTAAATACAAAAAATTATTCGGCCTGCCACCTCAACAATATTTTATATAAGAAAATGACTTATGTAGCCCCGGGCCTCCCCCACCTGGACTCTCACTCACTAACGTTATGGATATTATAATATATATTTATAAGACTACAGCATGAGAGGTGCCCAGCTCAGTGTAGACGGGTTCCCTAGACGGGTTCCCTAGACGGGTTCCCTAGACGCGTTCCCTAGACGTGTTCCCTAGACGGGTTGACGGGTTCCCTAGACGGGTTCCCTAGACGGGTTCCCTAGACGGGTTGACGGGTTCCCTAGACGGGTTCCCTAGACGGGTTCCCTAGACGGGTTCCCTAGACGGGTTGACGGGTTCCCTAGACGGGTTGACGGGTTCCCTAGACGGGTTCCCTAGACGGGTTGACGGGTTCCCTAGACGGGTTCCCTAGACGGGTGCCCTAGACGGGTTCCCTAGACGGGTTCCCTAGACGGGTTCCCTAGACGGGTTGACGGGTTCCCTAGACGGGTTCCCTAGACGGGTTGACGGGTTCCCTAGACGGGTTCCCTAGACGGGTTCCCTAGACGGGTTCCCTAGACGCGTTCCCTAGACGCGTTCCCTAGACGGGTTCCCTAGACGGGTTGACGGGTTCCCTAGACGGGTTCCCTAGACGGGTTCCCTAGACGGGTTGACGGGTTCCCTAGACGGGTTCCCTAGACGGGTTCCCTAGACGGGTTGACGGGTTCCCTAGACGGGTTCCCTAGACGGGTTCCCTAGACGGGTTCCCTAGACGGGTGCCCTAGACGGGTTCCCTAGACGGGTTCCCTAGACGGGTGCCCTAGACGGGTTCCCTAGACGGGTTCCCTAGACGGGTTCCCTAGACGGGTTGTGTAGACGGGTTGTGTAGACGGGTTGTGTAGACGGGTTCCCTAGACGGGTTCCCTAGACGGGTTCCCTAGACGGGTTCCCTAGACGGGTTCCCTAGACGGGTTCCCTAGACGGGTTCCCTAGACGGGTTCCCTAGACGGGTTCCCTAGACGGGTTGTGTAGACGGGTTCCCTAGACGGGTTCCCTAGACGGGTTCCCTAGACGGGTTCCCTAGACGGGTTCCCTAGACGGGTTCCCTAGACGGGTGCCCTAGACGGGTTCCCTAGACGGGTTCCCTCGACGGGTTCCCTAGACGCGTTCCCTAGACGGGTTGACGGGTTCCCTAGACGGGTTCTCTAGACGGGTTCCCTAGACGGGTTCCCTAGACGGGTTCCCTCGACGGGTTGTGTAGACGGGTTCCCTAGACGGGTTCCCTAGACGGGTTGACGGGTTCCCTAGACGGGTTCCCTAGACGGTTTCCCTAGACGGGTTGACGGGTTCCCTAGACGGGTTGACGGGTTCCCTAGACGGGTTCCCTAGACGGGTTCCCTAGATGGGTTCCCTCGACGGGTTCCCTAGACGGGTTCCCTAGACGTGTTCCGTAGACGGGTTCCCTAGACGCGTTCCCTAGACGCGTTCCCTAGACGCGTTCCCTAGACGGGTTCCCTAGACGGGTTCCCTAGACGGGTTGACTGGTTGTGTAGACGACGCCATCTTAGAGCTCCCCTATTCCCCCGTGCCTCAAGTATCCACACTCCCACCATAACATTATACACGGTGGTGGAGACTCGCCAAGTGACGGTCGGCTATACTATGATGGCGTCTCAGCACTAGCCAGATATATATCCCCCCACAACGTTCACTTACTAACGTAACAACTTTTAAAACGACCTTCTCGGGAATCGAACCCGGGGCCAATCGGTTGTTTCCCCGGCTGTGCTAACTACTGGCTACAGAGTAGACTTTACTGAAGATATTTCGCCTCGCAACTTGTTTCACATATGTGGGTTCGATTCTCGTCGGTAGAGGCGGAGACGTATTGATGATGCAGACTAATGTATAGTGTGTGTGTGACCTGACCTGTGTGTGACCTGACCTGTGTGTGTGACCTGACCTGTGTGTAACCTGACCTGTGTGTAACCTGACCTGTGTGTGTGACCTGACATGTGTGTGACCTGACCTGTGTGTGTGACCTGATATGTGTGTGACCTGACCTGTGTGTGTGACCTGACCTATGTGTGACCTGACCTGTGTGACCTGACCTGTGTGTGTGACCTGTGTGTGTGACCTGTGTGTGTGACCTGACCTGTGTGTGACCTGTGTGTGTGACCTGACCTGTGTGTGACCTGACCTGTGTGTGACCTGACCTGTGTGTGACCTGACCTGTGTGTGACCTGTGTGTGTGACCTGACCTGTGTGACCTGACCTGTGTGACCAGACCTGTGTGACCTGACCTGTGTGACCTGACCTGTGTGTGTGACTTGACCTGTGTGTGATCTGTGTGTGTGACCAGACCTGTGTGTGACCTGTGTGTGTGACCTGACCTGTGTGTGTGACCTGACCTGTGTGTGACCTGACCTGTGTGTGTGACCTGACCTTTGTGTGACCTGTGTGTGTGACCTGACCTGTGTGTGACCTGACCTGTGTGTGACCTGTGTGTGTGACCTGACCTGTGTGTGACCTGACCTGTGTGTGACCTGTGTGTGTGACCTGTGTGTGTGACCTGACCTGTGTGTGACCTGTGTGTGTGACCTGACCTGTGTGTGTGACCTGACCTGTGTGTGTAACCTGACCTGTGTGTGACCTGTGTGTGTGACCTGTGTGACCTGACCTGTGTGTAACCTGACCTGTGTGTGACCTGACCTGTGTGTGACCTGACCTGTGTGTGTGACCTCACCTGTGTGTGACCTGACCTGTGTGTGACCTGACCTGTGTGTGTGACCTGACCTGTGTATGTGACCTGTGTGTGTGACCTGACCTGTGTGTGACCTGTGTGTGTGACCTGACCTGTGTGTGACCTGACCTGTGTGTGACCTGTGTGTGTGACCTGTGTGTGACCTGTGTGTGTGACCTGTGTGTGTGACCTGACCTGTGTGTGTGACCTGACCTGTGTGTGTAACCTGACCTGTGTGTGTGACCTGTGTGTGTGACCTGACCTGTGTGTGTAACCTGACCTGTGTGTGTAACCTGACCTGTGTGTGACCTGACCTGTGTGTGTAACCTGACCTGTGTGTGACCTGACCTGTGTGTGACCTGACCTGTGTGTGTGACCTGACCTGTGTGTGTGACCTGACCTGTGTGTGACCTGTGTGTGACCTGTGTGTGTGACCTGTGTGTGTGACCTGACCTGTGTGTGTGACCTGTGTGTGTGTGACCTGACCTGTGTGTGACCTGTGTGTGACCTGTGTGTGTGACCTGTGTGTGACCTGACCTGTATGTGACCTGTGTGTGTGACCTGTGTGTGTGACCTGTGTGTGTGACCTGTGTGTGACCTGACCTGTGTGTGTGACCTCAACTGTGTGTGACCTGACCTGTGTGTGACCTGTGTGTGACCTGTGTGTGTGACATGTGTGTGTGACCTGACCTGTGTGACCTGACCTGTGTGACCTGACCTGTGTGTGTGACCTGTGTGTGTGACCTGACCTGTGTGTGACCTGTGTGTGTGACCTGTGTGTGTGACCTGTGTGTGACCTGTGTGTGACCTGTGTGTGTGACCTGTGTGTGTGACCTGACCTGTGTGTGACCTGTGTGTGTGACCTGTGTGTGTGACCTGTGTGTGACCTGTGTGTGTGACCTGTATGTGACCTGACCTGTGTGTGACCTGTGTGTAACCTGACTTGTGTGTGACCTGACCTGTGTGTGACCTGTGTGTGACCTGTGTGTGTGACCTGACCTGTGTGTGACCTGTGTGTGACCTGTGTGTGACTTGTGTGTGTGACCTGTGTGTGTGACCTGACCTGTGTGACCTGTGTGTGTGACCTGACCTGTGTGTGACCTGACCTGTGTGTGACTGTGTGTGACCTGTGTGTGTGACCTGTGTGTGTGACCTGACCTGTGTGTGACCTGTGTGTGTGACCTGTGTGTGTGACCTGACCTGTGCGTGACCTGTGTGTGTGACCTGTGTGTGTGACCTGTGTGTGACCTGATCTGTGTGTGACCTGTGTGTGTGACCTGACCTGTGTGTGTGACCTGTGTGTGTGACCTGACCTGTGTGACCTGTGTGTGTGACCTGTGTGTGTGACCTGTATGTGTGACCTGTGTGTGACCTGTGTGACCTGTGTGTGTGACTTGTGTGTGTGACCTGTATGTGTGACCTGTGTGTGTGACCTGACCTGTGTGTGACTGTGTGACCTGTGTGTGTGACCTGTGTGTGACCTGTGTGTGTGACCTGTGTGTGACTGTGTGACCTGTGTGTGTGACCTGACCTGTGCGTGACCTGTGTGTGTGACCTGACCTGTGTGTGACCTGTGCGTGTGACCTGTGTGTGTGACCTGTGTGTGTGACCTGACCTGTGTGACTGTGTGACCTGACCTGTGTGTGACCTGACCTGTGTGTGTGACCTGTGTGTGTGACCTGTGTGTGACCTGACCTGTGTGTGACCTGACCTGTGTGTGTGACCTGTGTGTGTGACCTGTGTGTGAGACCTGACCTGTGTGTGACCTGTGTGTGTGACCTGACCTGTGTGTGACCTGTGTGTGACCTGACCTGGGTGTGACCTGTGTGTGACCTGACCTGTGTGTGTGACCTGACCTGTGTGTGTGACCTGACCTGTGTGTGTGACCTGTGTGTGTGACCTGTGTGTGTGACCTGACCTGTGTGTGTGACCTTACCTGTGTGCGCGACCTGACCTGTGTGTGACCTGTGTGTGTGACCTGTGTGTGTGTGACCTGACCTGTGTGTGTGACCTGACCTGTGTGTGTGACCTGACCTGTGTGTGACCTGACCTGTGTGACCTGTGTGTGACCTGACCTGTGTGTGACCTGACCTGTGTGTGTGACCTGACCTGTGTGTGTGACCTGACCTGTGTGTGACCTGTGTGTGTGACCTGACCTGTGTGTGACCTGACCTGTGTGTGACCTGACCTGTGTGTGTGACCTGACCTGTGTGTGACCTGACCTGTGTGTGACCTGACCTGTGTGTGACCTGACCTGTGTGTGACCTGTGTGTGACCTGTGTGTGACCTGTATGTGACCTGTGTGTGTGACCTGACCTGTGTGTGACCTCACCTGTGTGTGACCTCACCTGTGTGTGACCTCACCTGTGTGTGACCTGACCTGTGTGTGTGACCTCACCTGTGTGTGTGACCTCACCTGTGTGTGACCTGACCTGTGTGTGTGACCTGACCTGTGTGTGACCTGACCTGTGTGTGACCTGTGTGTGACCTGTGTGTGACCTGTGTGTGACCTGACCTGTGTGTGACCTGTGTGTGTGACCTGACCTGTGTGTGACCTGACCTGTGTGTGTGACCTGACCTGTGTGTGACCTGACCTGTGTGTGTGACCTGACCTGTGTGTGACCTGACCTGTGTGTGACCTGACCTGTGTGTGACCTGTGTGTGACCTGTGTGTGACCTGTGTGTGACCTGACCTGTGTGTGTGACCTGACCTGTGTGTGTGACCTGACCTGTGTGTGACCTGACCTGTGTGTGTGACCTGACCTGTGTGTGTGACCTGACCTGTGTGTGACCTGACCTGTGTGTGACCTGTGTGTGACCTCACCTGTGTGTGACCTCACCTGTGTGTGACCTCACCTGTGTGTGACCTCACCTGTGCGTGACCTCACCTGTGTGTGACCTCACCTGTGTGTGACCTCACCTGTGTGTGTGACCTGTGTGTGTGACCTGTGTGTGTGACCTGTGTGTGTGACCTCACCTGTGTGTGTGTGTGACCTCACCTGTGTGTGTGACCTCACCTGTGTGTGTGACCTCACCTGATCTTCCTTGTCTGGCTTCCTGGGAGGAGTGTTGACCCTGGTGACCCAGGCAGAGTTGACCTCCCTCCTGATGGGTCTGGGAGGGTACTTGACCTCCCTCCTGGTGGTGGCGTGCTGCAGGTGTCGCCGGTGTGACCCTGACCTTCCTTCCACCACCTCTGACCTCTCCATCATCTGCACAATAGAGTAAACAAAGCAAAAACAGCCTTAAGCAACGTGAGATGATTCCATAACCTCGGCACCAACATACACCTATACATGGCTCTAGTCCGGCCACATCTGGAATATCCTATACAACTTCTACACACCTTAAAACCAACACTGAAAGAGACCAAGCAGTACATATGAAAGAACTATGAAGATATGCAAAACACCGTCCACAATATGACCAAACACTCCAGGAGCTCCAAGAGCCACTAAACAGTAACCCAACACCAGGCCACTACAACAAGGGGGGTGTGGAACACCATCGAAATGTTGGAAGACACAATGCCAGAAAGATTACTCCAAGATGAGACGCCCCGCCCCCGTAGCAGCTGCTCCAAGAGCTTGGAGCGAGGGGAAACAAGCCCAATAAAGAAAAATAGATAATTCCAATAAGAAATACACAACAGAAATCATCCACGACAAAAAAAATCGCCTGGAAACCGAACATTAAAACCCATACATAAGCATATATGCGTATAGTGCAGTGTCATATATGCGTATAGTGCAGTGTCATATATGCGTATAGTGCAGTGTCATATATGCGTATAGTGCAGTGTCATATATGCGTATAGTGCAGTGTCATATATGCGTATAGTGCAGTGTCATATATGCGTATAGTGCAGTGTCATACAGTTCATCCATGTGCAGGCGACGAGTCACAATAACGGGGCATACATAAGCATATATGCGTATAGTGCAGTGTCATACAGTTCATCCATGTATGCGTATAGTGCAGTGTCATACAGTTCATCCATGTATGCGTATAGTGCAGTGTCATACAGTTCATCCATGTATGCGTATAGTGCAGTGTCATACAGTTCATCCATGTATGCGTATAGTGCAGTGTCATACAGTTCATCCATGTATGCGTATAGTGCAGTGTCATACAGTTCATCCATGTGTGTGTATAGTGCAGTGTCATACAGTTCATCCATGTATGCGTATAGTGCAGTGTCATACAGTTCATCCATGTATGCGTATAGTGCAGTGTCATACAGTTCATCCATGTATGCGTATAGTGCAGTGTCATACAGTTCATCCATGTATGCGTATAGTGCAGTGTCATACAGTTCATCCATGTATACGTATAGTGCAGTGTCATACAGTTCATCCATATATGCGTATAGTGCAGTGTCATACAGTTCATCCATGTGCAGGCGAGGAGTCACAATAACGGGGCTAAAGTATGTTGACCAGACCACACACTAGAAGGTGAAGGGACGACGACGTTTCGCTCCGTCCTGGACCATTCTCAAGTCGACTGTGATGAGGAAGTTGATGCAGGCAATAACTAGGCAAGAGAGAGGTGAGGAGCAAAGTAAGGTGTAGTAGAGGAGATAGTAGTAGGAATATGATCTGTACATCTTCATCCATGTACATCTAAACATATTGAAATCCACGTGAAATCCTTACGTTGAAATCCATTATGGGGCCTCGTAGCCTGGTGGATAGCGCGCAGGACTCGTAATTCTGTGGCGCGGGTTCGATTCTCGCACGAGGCAGAAACAAATGGGCAAAGTTTCTTTCACCCTGAATGCCCCTGTTACCTAGCAGTAAATAGGTACCTGGGAGTTAGTCAGCTGTCACGGGCTGCTTCCTGGGGGTGGAGGCCTGGTCGAGGACCGGGCCGCGGGGACACTAAAGCCCCGAAATCATCTCAAGATAACCTCAAGAACATACCACTAACACCACAACCATTGCCACATTGAAATCCTTCCAAACGCTCTCATCGCTGTGGCAATATAGCGAGAGATTAGCTCAGTAACACACACACATCGTGTCAGCAAGACGAGCCGCCGGCCTGCTGTCATAATATTCACTATCAGAAAATCCATAGATTGCCGTGATGAGGATTCGAACCTATGCACTGAGTATTCTCAAGCATATACACGCCCCAGACAACTATAGGCCACGACAAGGTCAAAAAGAGACCTTTTGACCTTGTCGTGACCTAGTTGTCTGGGGCGTGTGTACCTGGGAATATCCAGTGCATTGGTTCGAATCCTCATCACGGCTCTTACGGATTCTTTCTTTGATACGTCACGTTAGTGTGATTTCTGTGTACTCATAATACAACTTTTGCCCCTTATGTACTTCTTAATCATCTTTAGTAGAGCTTCGGTCTCACTTCATGCAGGTCGGCGTTCAATCCCCGACCGTCCAAGTGGTTGGGGCACCATTCCTTTCCCCCCCCCCGTCCCATCCCTAATCCTTATCCTGATGCCTGCCAAGGGCTATGTAGTTGTAATGGCTTGGCGCTTTCTCGTGATAGTTCCCTTCCCTTAATCATCTTTACTAAAAACAATGAGTTTACTGGCCACCATACAGAGTTTGTTGTGAGGTAGAGCGGTGAGTTTACTGTTAACCGTGTCTACACCTCCCGGGCACTGTCCACACTATCCTCTACGGTGACGAGTAATTAATAATCCTTAAATATAAAATACAATAACCTAAATCCTTTTAATAATTGAATTCTCTGTTCACAAATTAATATATAAATAAAGGGATTAATAAAACAGCGTAGTAAGGCCTCCCTGGTATCGTGTCGCTCGTGGCTTGATAACGTACAAGTCAAATCAAGATCCAACATTACTTTGATATCAGTTTAAAATTATCTCTTGATATAAATATAATTACTTCTTTAAGAGCTATAGCCGGTGAAAGTAATGAAGGTTTGTACTGCTAAATAATCAAGTTTTGACGCCTTCAATAATTATTGAGCAATATTGTCTCTCTCGTGGGAGGGAGGGCGTCGCCAGCACTCTCTCGTGGGAGGGAGGGCGTCGCCAGCACTCTCTCGTGGGAGGGAGAGCGTCGTCAACACTCTCTCGTGGGAGGGAGGGCGTCGCCAGCACTCTCTCGTGGGAGGGAGGGCGTCGCCAGCACTCTCTCGTGGGAGGGAGGGCGTCGCCAGTACTCTCTCGTGGGAGGGAGGGCGTCGCCAGCACTCTCTCGTGGGAGGGAGGGCGTCGCCAGCACTCTCTCGTGGGAGGGAGGGCGTCGCCAGCACTCTCTCGTGGGAGGGAGGGCGTCGCCAACACTCTCTCGTGGGAGGGAGGGCGTCGCCAGCACTCTCTCGTGGGAGGGAGGGCGTCGCCAGCACTCTCTCGTGGGAGGGAGAGCGTCGTCAACACTCTCTCGTGGGAGGGAGGGCGTCGCCAGCACTCTCTCGTGGGAGGGAGGGCGTCGCCAGCACTCTCTCGTGGGAGGGAGGGCGTCGCCAGCACTCTCTCGTGGGAGGGAGGGCGTCGCCAGCACTCTCTCGTGGGAGGGAGGGCGTCGCCAGCACTCTCTCGTGGGAGGGAGGGCGTCGCCAGCACTCTCTCGTGGCGTCGCCAGTACTCTCTCGTGGGAGGGAGGGCGTCGCCAGCACTCTCTCGTGGGAGGGAGGGCGTCGCCAGCACTCTCTCGTGGGAGGGAGGGCGTCGCCAGTACTCTCTCGTGGGAGGGAGGGCGTCGCCAACTCTCTCGTGGGAGGGAGGGCGTCGCCAGCACTCTCTCGTGGGAGGGAGGGCGTCGCCAACACTCTCTCGTGGGAGGGAGGGCGTCGCCAGCTCTCTCGTGGGACTCTCTCGTGGGAGGGAGGGCGTCGCCAGCACTCTCTCGTGGGAGGGAGGGCGTCGCCAGCACTCTCTCGTGGGAGGGAGGGCGTCGCCAGTACTCTCTCGTGGGAGGGAGGGCGTCGCCAGCACTCTCTCGTGGGAGGGAGGGCGTCGCCAGTACTCTCTCGTGGGAGGGAGGGCGTCGCCAACACTCTCTCGTGGGAGGGAGGGCGTCGCCAGTACTCTCTCGTGGGAGGGAGGGCGTCGCCAGCACTCTCTCGTGGGAGGGAGGGCGTCGCCAGTACTCTCTCGTGGGAGGGAGGGCGTCGCCAGCACTCTCTCGTGGGAGGGAGGGCGTCGCCAGTACTCTCTCGTGGGAGGGAGGGCGTCGCCAGCACTCTCTCGTGGGAGGGAGGGCGTCGCCAGTACTCTCTCGTGGGAGGGAGGGCGTCGCCAACACTCTCTCGTGGGAGGGAGGGCGTCGCCAGTACTCTCTCGTGGGAGGGAGGGCGTCGCCAGCACTCTCTCGTGGGAGGGAGGGCGTCGCCAGTACTCTCTCGTGGGAGGGAGGGCGTCGCCAGTACTCTCTCGTGGGAGGGAGGGCGTCGCCAGTACTCTCTCGTGGGAGGGAGGGCGTCGCCAGTACTCTCTCGTGGGAGGGAGGGCGTCGCCAGTACTCTCTCGTGGGAGGGAGGGCGTCGCCAGTACTCTCTCGTGGGAGGGAGGGCGTCGCCAGTACTCTCTCGTGGGAGGGAGGGCGTCGCCAGTACTCTCTCGTGGGAGGGAGGGCGTCGCCAGTACTCTCTCGTGGGAGGGAGGGCGTCGCCAACACTCTCTCGTGGGAGGGAGGGCGTCGCCAGTACTCTCTCGTGGGAGGGAGGGCGTCGCCAGTGGGAGGGAGGGCGTCGCCAGTACTCTCTCGTGGGAGGGAGGGCGTCGCCAGTCTCTCGTGGGACTCTCTCGTGGGAGGGAGGGCGTCGCCAACACTCTCTCGTGGGAGGGAGGGCGTCGCCAGTACTCTCTCGTGGGAGGGAGGGCGTCGTCAACACTCTCTCGTGGGAGGGAGGGCGTCGCCAGTACTCTCTCGTGGGAGGGAGGGCGTCGCCAGCACTCTCTCGTGGGAGGGAGGGCGTCGCCAACACTCTCTCGTGGGAGGGAGGGCGTCGCCAGCACTCTCTCGAGGGAGGGAGGGCGTCGCCAACACTCTCTCGAGGGAGGGAGGGCGTCGCCAGTGGGACTCTCTCGTGGGAGGGAGGGCGTCGCCAACACTCTCTCGTGGGAGGGAGGGCGTCGCCAACACTCTCTCGTGGGAGGGAGGGCGTCGCCAACACTCTCTCGTGGGAGGGAGGGCGTCGCCAACACTCTCTCGTGGGAGGGAGGGCGTCGCCAACACTCTCTCGTGGGAGGGAGGGCGTCGCCAACACT